AATTTATTGTTAGACCGCAGCCCTCGGAACGGCGAGCAGCGGGAGCGTGCGCCTGGCTGCTTACGGTGCTAGGAGCGGCGGCGGGGAGAGGATGCTCAACAAAGGGAGATGGGGTTCCGCATGACCAAATGGTGTCTGTCGGTGCTCTGGTCGGGATTGCGCGATGCTCGCAGCCACACAGCCTGCGCTCGGCCGCTGCCAGCCCCCGGCGGGATGCGGGGCCGCAGAGCGGGGCGCGGGGCTGACAGCGGGAGAGCTATTATGTTGGCTGGTGGCAGCAGCTACAGATTTTCCTATGTAAGAAGATGGGAACGGTTGGCTACAAGTAGGTTTTGCCTATTGAACTCTCTTAACGTCTCGTTATTCTGACTTCTTACGTTCCGGGTCACGCAAGCTAAGCTTCTTTTGTCTATGTGCGGGGCGGAGGGCGGAGGGGGGGGGCGGCTGCGAAAGGAAACCCGGCAATTAAAAATATCCCTGCCCGGGCACCGGCGTAGCCGAGCACCGTTCGTTCGCCGGTTCGGTGGGAACCCGGCGGCGGTGGGCGGCGCGGCCAACGGGGCTCCGTGGAAGCGTTTTGGGTCTGGCCGTGACGTAGCTGCCGGGGAGGGAAGGAGCCCGGGCATCCCTTGGCAGCATCGCCCGCTGGCTGCGGGGAGGCCGAGGTGGGAGATTCGTCGTCGGGAGTTCATAAATACGAAGATTGAAAGAAAACGGGAAGCACCGGAGGGAGTCTGATCCCTCTCGGTGGCTTCTGTGCGCTGCCGCGTTCTAGGCGTGCCTATGGAGCCGGGCGCTGGGCCATCCCCTTTGGTCTGCCGGGGGATTGGCTGCTAACCTCACCCCCCAGCAGGTGCCACAGACAAAATGTAATTTGCAATGAAATTTGACAACAAGCAGAACGAAAAGTTGTCCACAACCAAAGTCTCAATTTAGGTTGCTATTTTTTAATCTCTTCTGCTTAACAGTAATAACGATTTTGGAGAGTCAGCAAGCAAGATCTTTTATTCCTAAGACCATTCTTTACCACGGAGAGTTAAAGATATAAGCAGTCATATTTTTTAGAGTAAAATTGCACTGACTGCTCTACTAAACAAAAAGGCTATCCTACATTCTACAACACAGAGATAAAAATGAAGGGCTTACCTGGGCTTCTGACACACAAGATTCAGCGATGATCAGCTTGTATATTTTCTCTCACTTTTGCCTGTCCATGGGAGCTTGGAGGTCCCACCTCGCATCCCTTCTTCTATTTTATTTTCAAGTCAAATTCTCATTTTTTTTTCTTCCTTCAGCTATCTTAGTAAGACATTGAGCACCTTGCTGGGCTTACCTTTGTTCATTTGGAGGATCACACCCTCAACACTGAATATTGGTGCATATCCCTATAAATGCATATATGTGTACTGATGTTTGTATGGAAATAACTACCTCAGAATCACAGAATCTTCTGAGTTGGAAGGGGCCCTGAAAGGTCATGTAGCCCAACTCCCCTGCAATGAACAGGAACACATACAGTTTGATTGGTTGCTCAGTGTTTCAGCCTGACTTTGGCTGTCCTCAGGAATGGGGTATCCACAACCTCTCTGGGCAACCTATTCCAGTGCCTCATTATCCTTATTGTAAAAAGCTTCTTCTTTATATCCAATCTAAATCTCTCCTGTTTTAGTTTGAAACCACTTCCCCCTTGTCCTATCACCACAGCTCTTGCTAAAGACTCTGTCCCCTTCCTTCTTATTGCCTCCCTTTAGATACTGAAAGGCTGCTCTCAGGTCTCCCCGGAGCCTTCTCTTCTCCAGGCTGAACAGCCCCAGCCTGTCCTCGTAGGGGAGGTTTTCCATTCCTTGGATTATTTGTGTGGCCCTCCTCTGGATGAGCTCCAACAGATCCTCCTGTACTGCAGACTCCATATCTGAATGCAGTATTCCAGAAGAGGCCTTAGCAGCACAGAGTAGACAGGCAGGATCATCTCCCTCACCCTGCTGGCCATGCTTCCTTTTATAGACATCGATCAGATACCCTCTCAGTCTTCTTTTCTCAAAGCTGACCAGACCCACGTCACTCAGCCTTTCCTTTTTGATGTGGCCCAGGATACAGTTAGCTTTCTGGGCTGTGAGGGCGCACTGCTGGGTCATGTCCAGCTTCCCACCTACCAGTACTCCAAGTCCTTTTTGGCAGGGCTGTGCTCCATCCTTACATCCCCCAGCTTGTACGGATACTGGGGGTTGCTACAACCCAGGTGCAAGACTTCACACTTGGATTTGTTGAGCCTGATGATATTCACTTGGGCCCACATCTCAAGCTTGTCTCTGGATGGCATCCCATCCCATAGGCATGCTGAACACACTGCACGGTTGGCATCATCTCCAAACTTGTTGAGGGTGCACTCGATCCCACTGTCAATATAACTGATGAAGATATTAAAGAGTATGGGACCCAGTACTGAGAGACATTTGTCCCCAGTCCCCATTTGGACATGGAGCCATTGACCACCACTCTATGGGTATGATCTCACAACCAGTTCCTCATTCATCAAACAGTCCACATATCATATCCATATCTTTCCAATTCAGAGAGAAAGATGTTAAAGAGGACTGTGTCAAAGGCCTTTCTGAAGTCCAGATAGATGACATCAGTGGCTTTTTCTTTCTCCATTGATGCAGTTACACCATCATAAAAAGCAACAAGGTTGGTCAGACAGTGCCTGCCCTTGGTGAAGCCATGCTGGTTATCCCATATCACCTCCCTCTCTTCTATGTGCCTTAGCAGAGCTTCCAGGAGGATCTGGTCCATGATCTTCCATAGCACTGAGGTGAGGCTGACAGGTCGGTAGTTCCCAGGCTCATCCTTTCTACACTTCTTAAAAATGAAATTGACATTGCTTTTTTTCCAGGCACCAGGGACTCCATCTGGCTGCCATGACTTTTCAAATATATTTGCAATAGTTAAGTAACCAAGCAGGCATCATAATAAAAGCAAGGAAGGAAAGTTAGCATGACATATCTGTTAGGAATTTCAGAATATTTGCATGTTAATTAAACAAGGACATACAAACCCTTATAGAAAAGAACTTGCATTTAGAAAAAAATCCTCCTTTCTTCTGCTATCCAGGACTAATCCATTGTCCAACATAAGAGACTGCACTCAGCACTCTTATAGAACAGACAGCTCTGAGAAATAAATGTCCTCCTAAAACCATGGAACCAGCGTTAGTGTCCACCCACACAAGGCAGAGGAGGTGTTTATGCAGACCTGTGGTGTAGCAGCTCTTTGTGTGAGGTATGGGCAGTTCAGGGGCAGTGTGTGCCTGGTGCTGGGTGTGCCCAGAGCAGGGCTGCAGCCCCTGTCCCACTGGTACATCTTCCATTGGTGTGCACATGGTGGGAATTTCACGCAGCCAGAAATGACATGTACAGGAGGAAATACGGAATTTTCACTGGACAGTAATTGTTGGTAAGCCTTTAAAGCCCATTCGCTCTTTCCTTTGACTCTTATGAATTATTTAAGAGTTTATCAATTTACGATAATTTAGAGACATCCCTATTGTTATTTTTTTCATACCTATTTTATTGTGTACAGTTGAGTTTGTTCAGAGAGAGCCGCAAACAGAAACAGATCTCCTAACTGTGACTCCCTCCCTCTTCTGTGCATCACTTCATCTCACCATAGGTAAAAGCAATTTCAATTTAATATTAATCACTACTGGCAGCACGAGCATTCCCTCTGCAATAACAGGATGGATGAAATTATGAGTTGGACTCTAAAGTCACAAGATGGTCAAAAACAAGAAAATAATACTGAAATACTTTGCTAGGAATTATTCTCTCCTTGAAGCTTTAAGATTTGCTGCTCAGCTTTGCTGTCAGCCAGAGAGATTTGCTCCTGATGGTGCTGTAATCCACTGCTGCTGGTAATTAGACATCATTACTGCTGCGTTAAAGGGAAAGAGAGAAGGAGAGAGGACAGGCTGGGGCTAATTAACTACTTGATTCTAATGAAAGAAAGAGAGACTGATAGCAACTGGGAGGTTGCACCGGAACAGGCTGGATGTACAACACAGGCTTAATTGAAGCAAGGGTATCTTGTAGCCTCACAGTAGCTGGGGCTTGGTGTACTTGCATATTCAGAGGACATGAGCAGGCTAGGATTTATTCTGCTGTTTCCTCCTCTGGTTGGGAAGGAGCTCAAAATCACAGGCCTGCCTTAAATACCAAGTTTAAGCACGCCAGCAAAGAGAATGGATGACTGATTACGTGTTGGCTTCATCTATTTTCACATTTGGACTCCTCAAAAGCAACAGGAACAAATCAATTTTTGAATGTTCACATCCCTCTGTGGCCTAGGAGATGCACTGTTGGTCACCAAGCAACAACAGCCCCTGCAAAACAGCCATTTTAGGTCTAGAGTGGGACAGCACACAGAGCAGCATTTGTATCTGCAACTTGGCGAACATCTTGCTTTGCTACTTTTCTGATTGCTGCTATTATCATCCTGTATTTTCTTTCATTAGGCCCAGGTTGTGCTTTATGAGAACA